TGGGCTCGCTTGAACTCCATACTTCCTCATTCTAGTAGCTTCCATCTTCTTCGAGCCAAGAGGTGAACAACGGAGGCGGGTCTTTAATGGGAACGAACCAAAGAGAAGTGCGCAAGATCTCTGTTGTTTTCTGCTGCACCCGTGCTTGATCTATTATTATATTGTGCACCGTTAAAAGCAAAAGAGGAGGGATCAACACTCAACAGTGAAGAGCAGCTGAAGAGAGCAAGAGGGCATTAATGGAGAGAGGTGGGTTTTAATAGTAATAAAATATACTAGTACGTTACTAGAGTATTTGATCGAATTTTGTAGATAGAGAGAGAGAGAGTCAGAGCAGAGACAGCTTGAGAGAGAGAGAGAGAGAGAGATGATGGGGGTCATCAGAGCACAAGCACAAACTCCCAAGGTTTTGCTTTCTCTCCCTTAAGATGCTCTCATTAGATTGTATGATTAGTGGGGTGCGTGGGGAGGAGGGGTGTTGTGGATGAGAGTGATAATGATTAGAGAGAATGTTAGAAGTAGATGGTCACCTTTTTTGTTCTTACTACTTCTTTTAGAAATAGTTTGGTTTTTTTGCAAAAAAAAAAAAAAAAGAATTATTGCTAATGTTGCAACAACATTTGTTACAATAAATCAAGCTAAAATTCATTTGTTTGCACATCTACAATTTTATCATGGAAGATCTATCTTAGTTACAAATTTAATATTTTGTTGAAAAAAATCGATACAAAAGCTAAGTGATCCTGTCGTATTTAGAAAAAAAAAGGTGTATATAATTATCTTATTTGAGATAGAAAATGTTTTTTGAGATGAAAACACATTTTAAATGTTTTTGTTTGGAGGCTGAAGGTTTTGCTCTACAACATTTTCTAATTATAATGTAGCAAACCAAATAATTAAAATGTAAATATGGATGGAGTATTTTCTTCTGGACCACGCAATTAAATAGCCCGTCATTGAAAGACATATTATTTTAATTTTCAAATAAAAATTATGTTTGACATTTAAAACTTTTTAATCAATTGTAGATGTACCTCAATGGTAGAGCGCTTACTTTGCTTGCTAGCGGTACGATAATCAATGTCTCTCATCTCCATTTACCGCAATTTAAAGTCTTTTTATTTTTTATTTTTTATTTTTTTATAAAAATGATGGATTACCACAAAGGTAATCCTGCCAGCTAAATATTAACGAAAGTGGTTGTTACATGAAAATACACACCCCCAACCAAAAGTGTGTACTGAAGTCCACTACAAAAAACTACAAAGCATGAAGAAACATCACACTGTACCCATCCATAAATCCCTCCACAAGGATTTGGACCTAATAGCTGCTAACAAAAAAACCAAAAGTAAACCAAATCCAACTTTAAGAAAGTTTTAAAGATCAGGTATAAGACAATATCAAGACTGAGCTGATTGCAAATCATTCAAGCTAGATCACTGTATGCACCAAATCTCTGTTTTCTCTTCCAGCAGCTCCAACCACTTGCAAACTATCAGCATTCCTCTTCCTTCTTCTTTCCTGTAGTCTGGTAGCCCGAGCAGAAGCAATTCTTAGAACCTAGCCAAAAGGTTGAGAAAGTCATGATTTTGTTTAATAGCTCAAGAGACTTCTTCCTTTTATTAGAAAAAAAGTATGTCATTACGCTCCTGCCATACACACCAAACTAGAGAACAAATAAAAACATCTCTTTTCATTTTGTAATTCTCATTATCACCAACTTCCCAGTTAAGCCATACTTCTTTTAAGGATCTCAAATTAAAATTATCCTCAGATTCTAGTTTGAATTGAATTGATCTCCATATTGAGTAAACAAACTCACACTTGATGAATAAATGTGCATGATTCTCCTCCAATTTAGAGCATAAACAACAAACTTTTTCCAATTGATTTCCTTTTTTTCAGTATATCTTTTGTATTCAAACTCTGTCTTAGAGCCAACCAGACAAGGAACTTCACTTTTAAAGGAATAGGAAGCTTCCATAGATTTGTACAATCATACCTCAAACCTCCATCAATTAAAAATTGATAGAAAGATTTTACTGTGAAACTCTCTTTTGCCTCCCACAACCATTTTCTTTTATTCTCATTTTGCTCTAAAGAAATAAAATTAAGCAAATTCATCAAAGAAAAGAATTGGGAAACAAAAACCCCAGTTAACTGTCTCTTAAACTTGACAACTCATCTCCACGTATTATTCTCTTTTTTCCTCATACTACTAACAGTAGCAAAAGGAAAGGATGTAATAGTAAATAAAGATGGAAAAAGAGATGCAAGAGTAAATGATCCTACCCACTTGTCAAGCCAAAATAAAGTGTAATCTCCTTTTTCAACCTCCACTTGAGAGCTGCATAAAAAACTTTCAATATTAACACAGAGATTCCTCCAAAAATGTGATAAAAGAACTCTCCTAGAGTATAAAAACTCTGTCCAACTTTTTCTTTCAAAATATTTATGAAAGCTAATTTGTTTCCAAAGACCTGGACTTCCATCAAACCATTTCCAGTGCCATTTTCCTAACAAAGCTCTATTCATAATTCTCAAATTTATGATTCCCAAGCCACCACAATATTTAGGTCTACAGACCTCCTCCTATTTTACCAAATTAGTGTATTCTTTATGATCCAAGGACCCAATCCACAAGAATCTTCTTCTCAACTTATCAATTTTATCAATGACCCACGAAGGAAAAAGAAAGAAAGATAACCAAAATTTTGGCATAGAGGATAGGACAAAGTTAACTAAAACTAGTCTTTTTAAAAAATTTTAATTAGGGTTAATTTCAGACCACACCTCCCCACCCCCACAAACAAAAAAAAAAAAGAAAGAAAAAAAGAAAAAAATCGCAGACCCTCCCTCAAGTTTGTAACTCATCAATTTACCCCCTATAATTCCAATTTTTCACCACACCCATTCTTCTGATAGTTTGTATGAAAAAAAAAGCAATTCATACATTGCATCTCCATTTTTACTGCAATTCAAAGTATTTTTAATTTTTTTTAATTAGGGTTAATTTCAGACCCCCTCCCTCAAGTTTGTAACTCATCAATTTACACCCCTATAATTCCAATTTTTCATCACATCCATTCTTCTGATAGTTTGGATTGGGGAAAATAAAAGTATTTCAATAACCAAAATACCCCTTTGTTCTCTTCTCTTTACAAAACAAAGGCAATTACAATCCTCCAAAATTTATTCTTCTGTAAAAATTTAAGATTTAAATTTAAATTTCCCAGATTGAAACTACCATAAAATTAGAGTTCATAAATTTTTTGAGCCGGTGATGGAGATTAAAACGAGAGGGGTGTAAATTTGTTTTGTACGGACAACGCGCAAAGTGACCTTTTTGGATTTTTTTAATTACATTTTATTAGTGATTAGACAAGCAGAATAAGAATAAATTAGGGTTGGTAATATTCATCTTTAATCATATATGCACAAATTATTAAGGGGCATATCTGTCCTAAAAAATAATAATTAACGCCATCAAGCAACTGTCAACTCAAATATAGAAACAAACATTAGGAAGGTTCATTGATGAATTACAAACTTTTGGGAGGCTGATTCTAGTGCTTATTTTTGAGGGGTTTTCTGAAATTAACTCTTTTTATTATTTTGAGAAATTTGATAAAAAAAATTTGTTAATTGTTTTCCCTTTTCTTGGTGGAGGAAAAAAATGAAGTAGCTGAATTTTCAAGAAAAATAAAACAACAATTGTAATTATTATTCTGCAAATGAGCAATAATTATCACTACAAATAATTGTGATGGATTCAATTGTACGTCATTTTCATAAAAGAAGTTGTAGTAACTGACTCCAGTTGCCATTAAGGGGCTGTTTGGTTTGTTTCTATAAAATAATGAAAATGAATTCCAAGTCAAATAACCATTTCTAAAAAAAATTTGAATCTCAAAGGAATCCATAACTTGTGTTTGGTATAGAATGATGAAGTGAAAAATAGGAAAGCATATCCAAAACTCATGTTTGTTTCATTGCCAAATAATTTAGGGAGTTGTGAGAGTAAATGATGAGTTGTCAATGGGTTGTCAGATTTCTAGCCCATTTCCGAGCTTAAAAAAGGATTTGGACTTTCCATAAAGTAGGCTGTCATGTTAGCTTTTAAAAAAAGTATTCTTAAAAAAATGAACCAAATGGCAGTTTTAAAATCCTATAATGTCAAAAAAACCTACGTTTTTTTTTCAAAACCACAAGATTCCTAAACCTTTGGCCGAATCAAACAACCCCTTAAGAAAAATAGGTTTTTAATGGTTATAATTGCAGCTACATGTAAAGTAATCTTCTCCTTGTACTCTAAAGACAAAGCAAATCCTCTGGTTCATCCTCTTAAGGGCTCAGCTTCCAGATTCATCCATGATCTGTAGTCTATCTGCCTTCCCTTCTTTAGCCACGTTTGTTGGTTAATTGGGGATGGGAAAACCTGTAGGTTCTGGCAAGACAAATGGTCTGGTGCCAATTCCCTCAGTAGCCTATTCCCAAGAGCTCATCTCCTTGCTTTCTCCAAGACCTGTAATATTCTTTCGCAAGGATCTATGTTTCTTAATGCCTGACAGTGGCACCCTCTATTAAGAAGAGGCATTTCCGAGGAAGTAAGGAATGAAATCTCCGCTCTCCTTAACCATCTTTCTCAATTCTCTATCTCTGGCCACACCAACCATGACAAGCTCCTCTGGCCCTATCATTCCTCAGGTATATACACTGTTAAATCATTCTATACCATCATCACCACAGGAGGAGTCATCTCCCGGCACTACAGATTCATATGAGCTTCTCCCATACCTCTAAAGGTTAAAATCTTCTTTTGGGTTGCTAGTAAATACAAATTAAACACTAGGGATAACCTGGTGTTCAAAGGATGGCTTGGCAATCCAATTTGCCCTCTCTGTTATGATGCAAATGAATCACATGACCACCTGTTTGTAAAATGTGGTTTCTCCTCACTTGTAAGGTCTTCTCTCCTTCC